CATTTTAAAACGAATTTAGGAGGCTCGGACACCATCTTACCTGATCTGCGTTTTACCAGAAATGTGTCGGGTTCGGGAGTCAGTTACGGTCAAGGAAGGATCAGCACCCTTGAACAGCCCTTTCGGTACCAATTAATTTACCGATTGTCTTAGTTGCGAAAAGTTAAAAATTTAAATTACCCGATTCGAATTACTCACCTTTGATCGATTGAAATTATCACTGTAAGTATCAAAAAATGTTAGATGGTAAAATAAAAATAAATACGAGGTAGCAAAGGGAAATATATATATATATCTATAGATATAAATATAATAATAAAACAAAACGTACGACAAAAATAAACAACGGTTAGTAAAAAAATAATAGAAAATAATAAATAAAGTAAATAATAATAATATATAAAAAGGTTAGTTAAAAAATAAATAAATAAATACATAAGAATAAAAATGAAAATAAAATAATTAAGAAAAATAGTATAATATAATAGTAAGAAATAAAAAAACCAAAAAAATAGAAAAATATAACTAAAACATATATATATATATATAAAAGAAATGTTAAAAGGGAAATAAAAAAATGAAAAAGAGGTTTTAAAAATAATAATTATTATAATAATAAATAAAACGATACTAAATAAAATAATCTAAATTAGGACTAAAATAATTGAAATCTAAATCTAACGATTCAATTTAAAATGAAAGTTCTAGGATCAAAATGAATTGGATGCATAATATAATGCCACACTTAAAGGAAAAATAAAGCTAACATAATTCATCAAATATCAAGTGACCAAATAAGTAATTTTCCCGATATATTACAATTGGTGTGCTCCACTTGCTATGTCAGATCAAAGCCACATTCACGTTTAAAATAAAAAAAAAGGGAACCATACTCATTTGTTACCAGATATTAAAAACAAGGGTGAGCGCTTCACTACTTTCTCGCCGGGAAAGAAGTCGTTCAACGCTAAACTTTAAAAGTAGATCTTTCTCGACACCGATAACTTGGATCCAATCCCGGTCTTGCAAGAAAATGTCCCCAACTCCGCGAAAAGGCAAAAGAAACTTCGACTCTTCACCTCTTCGATCTAATTCCTCCGCCGTCAGATTGTTTATGTTCCGAGGTATGTCGTTCTTCTCGGACTTCTCCTTCCGAAATACTTCTGTATTTTTTTCTTCGAATGAATCCCTTCTGTATTTCTCGTATTTTTCGTGTATTCCTTGTAGGTTTTTTTTTTGTAAATCGTTGCTCTCCGTATGTTTGCCCCGTCGCGTTTCTTGTAAACTCTGAGTATTTTTGCGTGTAACCTCCTCCCTATTGCCTGAATTTTTACATACATTTATAGTAAAAAATCTGCTATTTTTAGTCCTGATTTCTGAATCCTACGAAGATTGAACTCTTGCTTTAGTGGCGAGGATTTCGGTTGCCTTTGGAGTCCTATGGAGCCATGTCTCATGTTGGTTGTTTTCGAAGATTCCGGTGACGTGGAGGGAGACATGAGGCGATAGGAGTCTTCGGGTTGACCGTGGAACTCGGCTGGCGGAAAATTAATGTCAACAAATATGCTTAAATATACAAAAGTTGTTTAATTTATGCATGCTTTTTTAGTTTAGTGCCTAACGTTTATTTCGTCACAGTTTGGTGTCTAAGTTTCATTCCATTACTCAAAATGAGACAAGCTGTGATGGACTGTTAGTTTTCTCCGTTAAGTGACACATGTCACAATCTCGTAATTTTATTTTTTTTTAAAATTAAAAATATTATTATATTTATAAAAAAAACCCTTATATCTTTTAAATTACAAAAACTCTCAAAATCCCTAAAATCCTCAAATATTAACACTAACCTGCCGTCGCCGTCCTTTCTGACCACGACCACCATCGCCGATGTAGTCTTTGTCATCATCCTATTTATAAGTCGTCGTAGTTGTCGTCGATTGGTCGTTGAAATCGCTTGGGATTGTGATTTTCATCCTAGGGTTCGCGGGGTATAAAACATCGATTCGTCGTCGATCGACCGTTGATCAGTCACGATTTCATAGGGGTTTTGGTCATCGGGGGAGGTGAGGTTGGGTGGAGCTTTCTCGACGACAAAGTGTGGCGGGCGGCGTGGGTTTAGGGGTTGAAATGAATGTTTTCAAAGTTTTGGGGTTATTTCGAATTTTATGTGCTTTCTTTTAAAAAAATATATATATATATTTTTTAATTTTATATAAAAAATTTAAAATTATCATATTGTGACATGTATCACTTAACAGATAAAACTAACGGTTTATCACGGCTTGACCTATTTTAAGTAACGAAATAAAACGTTAAGTACGAAACTGGAACAAAATAAACGTTAAACACTAAACTAAAAAACAAGCATAGGTCGGATAAATTTTGTATATTTAAGCCTAAAAGATATTGCATGACACGTACCAATTATAGAAGCACAATGAATATATGCGCACTCCCAAAAGAGAAGACACCAATCTGAAGTGTAGTACTTGATTGATGAAACGTGAATAAGATAAACAAAGAACATATAATGTCCCAAGAGAAACACAGAACTCATGCTGCAGACATCTGTTTCTGTGCACAGAACCTTTTTCGGATACCATGTCACTTTTACCACTCAAAAGCTCAGGCAGAGGTCATGTGACCTTTTCCGGGGAAATCTTTTTACCAAATTAATCCAATAACTATTACAGTATTACACTGCTAACTTATGAGGTCACGTGATCTTTATATATATAGAAATATTTTAGGTTGAGTTTAATTTGTAGAATGTAAGATTATATTTGATAATAAATAAATAAAGACAAAGATAATATGATAAAAAAAATTAAATTACACCTTTAATCTTAGATATGACTAAGGTAGAATGTTATGATATTATAACCTGTACATAATGTGAGATCACGGCCAAGGATTTTCATGAACCAAGCATCATAATCTGATCTGAAATCAAAGATTTATGCCCTATAAAGTTATACAACGTGAACCAAACCTCTATCATATAATAAAAGTTTGACTTAATCAGGGACGGAGCTCCCTTAGTGTCCAAGGAGGCCCGACCCCTGTTAAAATGTATATATTCGATATAATTTTGATTTAATAGTATTTTTGATTCATGAAAAAATAAATATTTAAATTTAAAAAATATAAAAATTTATTAAATATTTAATCAAGTAGGGGTCGAACTAAAGAATGATAAGTCTGTGTTCTCAAATTTTTTGTCTAATTACAATTTAAGTCATTGTAAGTTTAAATATTAGATAAATTAGAAGTTTTCTTTTGATTTTTTTTTAAATTTAGGGTGAATATAAGATAAATATCTTAACAATTACTTTCAAGTATTTGACAATGAACGTTCATACCCTACATGCGTTCTTGAACTCGGAACCTCAAGGATAATAACAATCCCTTAATCACTAAGGTCACTTGGTTCATATTGAATGAGTTTAAATACATAATAAGTCTTTATATTTTTCTTAAATAGTCTAATATTTAGGTCACTGCCAATATTTAATTCTGGCTCCGTCCCTGGACTTAATGGATTTGAAGTACTCATTCTTAAACAATTTTTTTGCATTTAATGTGACTTTTAAATTGAGAAAAAAAAATTCAGTATGATCTTTTAACTAACACAAACACAAGTTGATTTAAGAAATAATAATAAAATAGAAATCAAACGCCAGAACTCCTTAGATCCAAGATGGAGAATAAAGTCAAAATGTCGGATGGAGCAAAAGACTCCTTAGATCCATAGGTGGAGAATGAAGTAACATGATATATATTATTCTCACCATTTTACTTTCTTATAGAAAGAAATTAAGAGACACTTCCATATTATTTTAAGAATTTCATTAAAAAAACTGACGGATTCAGTATCAAAGATCGAATGATGTGCAAACTCGGACAGGATGACATCCCGTAATTCACCTTTCTCTCTTGCAGACTATAAACACAGCTAGAGGTGCTTAATGAGTTAAACAATTTGTGAACGGCTCGAACTCGACTTAGTCAAAACTCAGGTAATACTTAACTCAGATTGACTCAACTCGAGCTCAAATTCCATTGGAAACATTAACGAATTGAGTTGAGCATGATCAAACTCAATAACTTCGTGAACACCTTGTTAATTTTTTTTTATAATTTGTAAGTAGTCACCTTAAAAAATTACTACATTAAAAAATTAAACCTACTTAATAATTTTATTAATAGATAATAAGAAAGATACTAAATTACTAATTAATAAATATTACTAATTTTATAATCTATTAATCTTTTAATAAACAATAAAAAATATTAAATTATCAATTGATAATTTACTACACTAAAATATAAACACTAATTACCCTTCCCGAGTAACAAATCGAGTAAAAAAAATTTCAACGAGCATGAATCAAGTAAAATTTTAACTAACTTAACGAGCACCAAGTCGAGCAACAATTTTTTTTAATGAGCACGAGTAAAACAAAATTTTAACGAGCAACGAGTCGAATAACAAATTTTTTTAACGAGCACGAGTTAAATATTGTCTAACTCGTGATCGACTCGCTCGATAAACACCCCTAAACACCACCAACAAACTCTCAAACAGTCCAATGAATCCACCCTAAACACAAGACTACTAACAAATTCATTAAATAAAGATGGATAAAGGAATCGAGGCTGAGAGAGTAGTACTCTCACGCGATCCCAATATCTGCAAATTTATAAACATGTTTTATATGCCCAAATCTTTTGGTATTCCATCACTAAAGTCGTTTCCTTCAAGTGATACGACTTTAAGATTTCGGTAATGACGTAAACTGCAGAATAGTGAGCCCCAAACCGACCACGCTACTGGACTTGAAAACTAACACGTAATTCAACAGAAAACAAATTGAAACCATGGAGTCCGCCAAAACCGGCTGTCTTGAAACACCAAGCAGAGGCTAAATGAATCAAATATGTGAATCCCTCCATTGATCTTTTATTCCCTGTTGTTTGTACTATTTTTCACATGCAAGTGCAAAACCAAAGATGTATATAGATATTTACAAGTAAATACACCGCCCGACTTCTTTAAAATTCAACTCATTTTTTTGTTAAAACCAAACACCCAATTGAAATACACAAGTTGCCACCAGATACCTCATTACCTATGCCAAAGCTTGAGCCATAATCGAACGTTGCGACAGCTGCTGCTCATAAAGTTCTCGGAAGATGCGGTATTTAGCATCATGATACTTCTTCACCCTTGGGTCTGTTGATGGATGAATGACCTGCATGGTTTCAAGAGTTGAATTGGTCTATGTCAAGTACAATATCAGAGACAATCGTCTATTGAACCACATAAGTGGTATGATCTCGGTTGCATAATTAAATAGAGAGACACATATGGAAAGAAATCGTAGAACATCAAACTTAAACAATTTAAGCCAGTTTAAAAAAATGGTATCTACAACCTAGGCACCAGCCAAATCATTAGCCCAAATAAATTTAATGCCCAAAAGGCCAAAACAGGCCTGCCCTTCGATTAGTTGATGCCAATCAATCAGAGGTCACACGCAACTATTCTTTGCACCACAAGGAGATTGAGCAAATTAAATGAGACCACCTTCCTAAGCTAGATTTCATGCATTACCATCAGTTAACTTGTTTAAGTTGAACCACTTTATGAAAGATGTAAAACCGAAATACAGCTCAATTTTCAACTGGACCTTCTACAGTTCTACACATATTTTCATGATAAAAGCACCAACTAACAATAAAAAAAAAACATGACCGATAGCTTACCTGACCAGCTGCATTAAGTGCTTTCATAGCCTCATTAAGACAAGTATACTTCTTTGCAGAAACTGCACCGAGAATAGCAGCCCCTAAGAGCACCGACTCACTTTCACGAGGAAGTATTATAGGGCAACCTGAAATTATGAGCAAATGGTCTCCCACCAATAAAATGAATAAATAACAAAAGAGGGAATAGCAAATTCTTAGCAAGAAAGCCACAAGTTTTTTATCAGCATGTGCCCAGCAATAACTAAGATGCCAACACCCTCCTAGATGACCCGGTTCACTTGTTTTATGTGAGAATTACATAAATCTAATTCAAAGTGTCTTCTGTCTTCTATAATGATGTAAGAATAATGTGTTTCCACACTAACCTTTCTAGGTGGTTTCAACTTACAGTGAATTTAGATTTCAGTAAAGGTTACAGTTCTCAAATGAAGATCTCAATCTACATGATACAGCCATAACTGACTACAAAGTTCAACGTTCTACGTTTCAACAATAATGTGTAAGACAATGTCGAAATCTTTCATTCTAAGAACTCTCCATGACATGGAAGAAAATTAATCTTTGCCTACAGCAGCTACAAATATAGAACCAGTAAACTCTATTAAAGACCATACCCAAAGTAAAGCTACCCTAAGTAAAGCTCAAACTCAAGGAAGGTCCTGTCAGCCACTAAATCACACTTTCAAGGGAGCATCCACAGGTTCTTCTGTACATCTTAAGAGGAGACAAAATTACATTTTTAAAAACTTATAATTACCATAACATTAACAATCAGTCTTTTAAGGGGCAGTGGCAAGTTCCTCTTTACATCTAAGAAATTTTTACATCCAAAGTTAGCTTAACCCTAGAAAAATTCTGCCTTTTCCCTAGTCATATTAACAAAAATGTTTGGCTACATGGAATGCATCACTTGAGTGCAGAGGAAAAAGAAACATTAGACCAAAACAAGGTTCTATGTTGCTATAGACTATAAGGTATATAAAACCTTAATCATAAATCGAAAGATGAAAGTTACTAAGCATGCAGGAACATGCACACAGGACCATGCATGCATGCAAAATGGAAGAAAATAAATGTACAAACCAATAATATCTGCATGCTCTTGAATGAAAAGGAGGTTTTTTGAGAGGCCACCGCATGCAAGCAATGTATCAATCTGCACAAAGGGAGAGACATACTAAGGAAGGATTTCAGGGTATAAGAGAAACGAATTATGAAGAACCAATGGCCCAATGCCAAGCAACCCTATTGTTAAGCCATAACAGCAGCAGCAACATATTTAATCATCGAGCAATAATTAGATTGCTTCTAATTGGAGCTTCTTGCACGTGCACAACTTTGTTTTATATATAATAACAGGAAATGAGAGTGCAGGTGAGGACATGGAATGAATTGGGACCAATTTAACAACCAGTCAGGCCATTTGCCAACAGCCAATCTACATTATAATTTGACTAGACTGAAAGCTTACGCTCTTTATCACACAGAAAAAGCAGGCACTATGGATTGAACTGAAATGATTAACCTAATTCCATTTTTATCCATCAAGGATGGTAGCCTATTTATCCATTATGCAGGTACCTCAAACTAATCCTTGCTTAATTCTTCATTATGCAATCACTTCATTCCAAGTCCAATTGCTTCCAAGTTTTTTTTTATCACAACAACAGGGTTTGATTCATAATTGTTTCAACCAAGTGTGTGTGTGTGTGTGTGTGTGTATAAACAAAAAAGAGAAGAAAGGTGCATATCTTGCCTTGTGACCATTAGCATTACAATGCTCCACAATATGGCGTGTACCATATGCAATACCCTGTACTGTGGCAAGGTATAGACGAGCCAATTGTTGTTCACTAGGATCCAGAGTCAATCCAAACACTACTCCTTTTGCTTTTGGATCTGCAACAGGAGACCTGTGCATCACAATGGTAAAATCTTAAGCTCATTCATACTGATATGTAGGCTGCAGTAAGAACTGGAAAACTCATTATTCAATTCTTCAAATGCTTTACCTATTTCCATGGAAGTCAGGAAGGACATGTGTATCTTCAGTCAAAGCAGAAATAAACGGACACTGCATCTCATGCATCATTGATTCTAACATCATGTTCAGTAGCAGAAACACAGAAGTTTCTGGAATGAACATAGAATAGAAAGTCAAGCCAGTCCCTAGAATTAGAAAGAGGGGGACACAAACCAATTTCTTACTCTGAGAGGCAGCACGGTTTGCAAGTTGAGGAGAAGCAACATGGTTCTCAATTATGTAATCCAATAATGCACCAGTAGCACTCTGCCCCCCTTCTGTGAGCCAGTACTCAGGTATCATTGCTAAAAATCAAAGCAAAAAGGAAACACCAAATCACCATTAATGATGCATATCTACCATAAGTAAACTTACATGGTATAATATAAAATCATTCAAATTATGCCATTAGTGTTAACCAAAGTGACAAAGATGAATGGTTAAATAATGAGTTAAACTTTGAGAGAAGTCTAACCCAATCAAACATTATGTATAGGCATGAGTATATGTACATGCTAGTAACAAACGAAAAAGATATATAGATGCCTAATTGGCAAGAATTATCAGATAATATTTAATAAAGCCAGTCTCATAGACCACTCTGTAACTACATTATATATTTTGAGATTTTACCTGACCAAAATGGTCCCCATACCCCAGGAATAAATAGCTTGTCCCGTGATACAGCCATATGACAAGTAGAAGTGCCACAGACCAGCACCATACGACGGCATATAGCTTCATTATCGTCCTCTGAACATGTGTCACTTTTTCCAAAAAGTTAAATATTGTAGCGAATAAGGAAAGGAAAGAAAAAAGTGAAAAATTTCTCCAATAAATAAACCTTTTTCAGGCAGACTTTCCATTACCCCCACACCACCAGCATGTGCATCAATCAGTGATGTCCCGACAGGCGTTCCAGCTACAAGACCAAGTTCCTGAAGATATAAATTCTCAATTATAAAAGAACCAGAAAAGGGTCAAAATCTACAGACAAAGATGAACAAACCTACAAAGCCACATAAAAGGTCCATGTTCGCATTCTTATATCTAAATAAGTACATTGACTTCATTAATTGACCTCAAGGGAGGACCACTTGAAAACAACTTCAAATCTAGAGTACAAAATTTCTTGCCTTTGCAGCAGTAGGAGTGAGACCAGATCCCAAAGCATGGCCTGGAAAAGCTACACTTCGTCCTGTCATTATAGAATGTGTCATGTTGTAAAACTAAAAGGTTAAGTTAATTTTTTTTAAAGAGATAGCAAAAGTTCTTTCACTGTGAATTTCAATGTTTTTTTGACACGTTCACAATACAGCTGCATAATCTAAGTACAAGTCTAAAACTGACTAGAAAGCACTAACAAAGTCATTGCACTTCTACTATTAATGCCACCGTCGAATTTTCTTCTGCATTTGAATCTTGAATGGACAATAAAGTAACATAATAGGCACGTAATTGTGTAAAAACAGAGCATTTTAACAGCAATAAGCCTACACCAGCAGTCAGCTATTGGATGTAATTTTACAGAATGATAAGCTATGTTGAGAAAAAATAAATTCTTACTGCCAACCTTCAGTTATGGAAAGAGACTTTGTAGTATAAAGTTCAGTCACTCTAGAAAAAAAAAGAATATTTAAAAGGTAGATCCAAATAGGAATGAAGCAAGAGAATTGAAGATAGGCACACTGCTAATTAATTTCGGCATCTAGGCTCAATTACAAAAAGGATTGGGGGTATTGCCGGAGATGTCATCCACATGATCTAAGCATAATGGACAAAAGAAGAAATGCATCTAGAATCTTGACTGATTGCGAAATTTTATAAAGGAAAATACAAGTATAACGAAATTATGCATTTTGGGTAGCTCAATTTTACTCTGTTAGTAGTACTTTTTGTAATTTTTGTTATAACTAGCCGAGATCCATTTCTTGGTTGTTATATTGTGGCCATGATCAGGGCAGCTGGCATGAACGAAATATACACAATGAATATCTCTTCCTTTTATGCTCTTCTCTCTGTTTCTCTAACTCTTGTATTCCTTCTCTTCTCCATCTTACTTTTTCTTCCTTCTCTTTTCTAACTGTTCTTGAATTGGCTTGTATCAATAAATGATGGATAAGATAAATTGACGAATGAGTAGATGAGGGAAAATGTAGTGGATACATATCAGCCATTTAGGGTAAAATGAGGGGAAAGCTAATTAGACATGTAGAAAATAGAAGTATGAATTATCCTATGAAAAGATGCAAGTTAAAGGAGGTACAGTTGGAAATTATAACAAAGCTCATTTTTCCTATCAAGTTTGTTGAGTATATGGTTTGAAGTGTATAATATGACCAATGCTGCCAACCTCACTACAAAATGGCTCATCAACTCAGTCTAGCTGCTATTCCAATCTATTGAAAATTATCCATGTACACAGGAAACTGCTCTACTCTCACATCCAACCAAAAGATAAAGATCAAGAAATGAAACTCTTAAAGTATACCGATCTTAGCATGATGGCCCTCAACAAGATCACCTAAGTCAATCTCCTCCCAAAAATCATCATCCCATCCACAAGCTTCCATGTCACGAGAATCTCTCTCATTCATCTGCTGCATGTGTGCATGACCAAGATATGTCCATTTGCATACTGTGGTGCATAGGCTTCGTGTATCATCTCCTGTTGCCCTATTAAAGGAAGTAAAAAAAATAACGTTGAGTTCATAAGGTAAAAAAAGAGCATGATGTCTTGACATAAAGAAGCAAATGAGATAGATGAGCAGAAGAAAGAACCTGTATGACAACCAATCACTCAAGTCCATCCACCTAAAAGCCATTGACCAAGACTCTTGCAAATTTTCTTTCACCCATAAAAGCTGCAAAAGGAAAAACAAAATTATCAATCATTGTCTCTGACAGAAAACAGAAGACAAACCAAAAAACAGAAAGAAAAATGAAAACTGAAGTTCTTATTTTCTAATCTGCCGTAATAGCATGCATATGTCCCCTATTTAACACTTAGTGATTAACTCCTAATAAAGTACTCTACTGAAAGATAAAATTTATCCAGAGATAAAGATAATAAAAAATCATAATTTTAAAAGACTCCTAAAACAGTAGGTATTCTTAATAAACATGATCATTTGTTCATTTTAAGCATGTTCGCATTCGGTTTGTGTTCGTTTAAAATTTCAATGTGATCATGTTCGTTTTGTGAACAATAAATGAACAGGTTCGTGAATATGTAATTGAACATGCCCACGAGCAATTATAATCTGTTTAAAAATAATAAACAATCAAACTGAAAATAAACATATTTCTTAATGTTAGATCTAATAATCAAACATTAATATTAAAATTATATTAGAAACAAATAAAATAAACATACATGCTTTTAAGTACTTTGTAGGAAAAATATCAACTTTAAATAAACGAGCTTGTTTGTGAGTATAAACGAACTAAACGAACCAAACACACCTTTGTTCAAATAGGTTCGTTTAATTAAACAAACATTTTTTTGTTCATACTCATTTATTTACGTTATCAAAAAAACAATATGCGAAACGGTTCACAAGTGGTTCGTCGAATGACCTATTCGTTTACAACCCTATTTTGACCTCCCTACCACAAGTCCCCGACAAACTGAATTAGTTCAATGATTTGAACTAATTTTCAACTAAGATTCTAAGAAGAGCACACCAACAAGAAGCACTGCTTTAGAACCCCCCTCCCCCCTTCTTACCACCATCCTTTCACAGAATAATTGCCCATTTATCAGCAATCCTAAGTACTCATACTAGTTTTATTGCCTTCTTGCTGCAAAGGTGCTACAGTACTCATACTAGTTTTATTGCCTTCTTGCTGCAAAGTTGCTACGTTTACCAAAATTAAGGAAAAAGGAGGCTCATGTTATCATCTACCCTAACCAAAAATAATCTACTGAGCTTATTTTAGACATCCCTATCACAATAAAAAAAGGACCTGCAAGATTCAAGGCTCAGAACCAAATATTCAAGATATGTACCAAACTACCAATAATATGTGATGGAGGATTCTTGTTCAGCAAGTATTTGACAAAAAGATCCACTTATATTACCAGGGTGCATAAGACTGAGTGAGAAAAAGAAACCAGGCATTATCGTTTTAGGTCCACATTCCAAAATATGATATTATGATTAAGCATACTGGAAATGGGTAAAATAACTTCAAATTCCATTTTGTTTATTATGTATATCAGAATACAGGGTGTTCTATCTTCCCAACATAAACGTTCAGAATAAGTTGTTTTTTACTATTTTTCCAACAAAAGAAGCTGCATATTCAGGGTAGATTTACCCTGCAAAATCATTCAATATTGAATATAGACTATGCAAAAAAATCGGATGGCGAAACTTGTTGACTGGGTACCTTTGGTGGCTGCATCTCCGGTGAAACAGATCCACCACAGTATTGTAACACAGGCGAGTTACGAGAATTAATCTTCTCAGCTTGTTTAACAGCCCTATGGTCCATCCAGACTATAATATTTCTTCTTGAATCACCACTCCAAGAAACTGTAACAGGAGAGTCATCTGCATCCACAGCCACTGCATGAAGAAGCCATATTTTCCTTAACATTGCGATTACCTTTCCATTGCGATTACATGGCATACAGCATTAACAAAAAGAGTTCTCATTCAGACACTGTGTTGGATAAATATTTCCAAATACAAACCAAGTGAACAAGTAGCTGCAAATCCAATGCCCTTCACCTCTTCCCCTTCAACTTTTGCATGTGAACATGTTGATTTTACAGCTGAACAGACTGCATGCCAGATATCAGTTGAAGATTGCTGGTATAAAAAGAAATGGTCTCGATTAAAAAAGTATTCATTATAAGTATGGTAATGTTTACTCCAATCAAAGTAAGTTGCCACATAAACTCAGCTACAAATTAATAGGATCATAGAACAGTAACTCCACAAAGATTGAATTTTCGTTTATTTTTACCTCGATACAGTCACCTTCTTTCCATATTTGTATTGGGCTACTAGCAGATCCTAGAAGCTTCCCTTGCTCATCAAAGAGACCTGAAGCAGGCAGTAATATATAAACAAAAACGCAGCAATAAGGTTTAACCCCAAAAAAAAGGGCTATATTGCAAAAGAAAAAATGCATGATGTGTGCCTTTTGTAATAGGTCGGAAAAATAAAGAAAGCAACTTCCATATTTAAATTGAAATACAAAGTTTTTCAGCTATTAAACAATCTCCAATAGACTAAGTTCACAAAATATAAGAAGATATCATCTCAAAAATCTTGACTCATTTTCAAGTGTTTACGCTATTTGCTTTCATCTTCATCAATAGCTTTCATCTTCATCAAAGCAGATATAAATTCGTAAGGAAAGTTAAATATAAGAAAAGAAGCAAGAATCATATTTGACTAAAAAGAAAAGGCATAAACACCAAATCAAAAAAAAAATTGAAAAGCATCAGTCCATTCTCGATAAACTAATTTTACTCGTCAACATTCCATTTTCATTTCTAATTACTACTCCAATTTAAGTTCAAACAAGGACGAAAGACGATGTTTAAGTGAAGCTAAGTATTCAAGATATATAGAGATTAATAGGAAAGTTGAAAGGGGATAACAGAGTGGATGCATCGGTTTAAACTAGAGAAAGGGTGAGTCAAACTTTTTCTTCTTCCTCCTACTTCAGTTGCAGCAATCACACGGGTAGTGTCTACTTTTATTATGAAGTGTCAAACACAATTTCTATTCCAAATTACTCCAAAGTGTATAGCATTTCAATCAAAACTATAAATAATCACGCAGTTATTATTATATGAAGAAAATAAAAATGGAGGAAAACAGACCGGCGCGTGCGCTACCGGTGCCGACGTCGATGCCGAGGAAGATTGAACGACGGGAAGTAGGGGAGGAGGAGGAGGAGATAGCGGCGGCCATTTCAAGGAACAAAGGAGAGGAGATGCTGTGGGAACATGCGGAGGGAGAGGAATGGAACCGGATAATTGGATGATGATGTTGTTGTTTGTGTTTGTGTTTATGTTTGCCCAGAAGCGGCGTCGTATCCGATTGAGATCTCCCTTCACCTGACACATCTTTTCCTTTAATTTTCTCTATTTCTTTCATCATTTTGTGTTTGGTAAACTCTGTTTAATCTGTGGTTTTCGTTTTGCTCATCCGTTCATGCTTCCTTTACTTGTCAATTTGCTTTTGTTTGTAAGCCGATAATAATGAGTTGAAAGCTAATTAATTTTAGTTTTGGTTAAAGGGTAATTCTCTAATAAAATACTTTTATTAATTTTATAAAAATAAACTATTTTAAAAAATATATAAATATTTTATATTTTTCAATTTTAAAATCTTTACTAATATAGTATAGAAATAAAATAATGGATAAACTACATATTTGTCACATTCATTTAAGTTTTATACATTTTTCCTCACTAAATTTCAAAAAAAAAAAATATTTGATCACTTTCGTTTTTATTTTATTAAAATAAGGTCATGTTCGTTTTTTATTTAATTAAGATTTAATCACTTACCTTATCAACTTTTAAATGATTAGTCAATGAAAAATTGTACAAAACTAAAACAAAAGTGAGAAATCTTGTAATTTACCTTAAAATAATTCATATCAAAAAATCAAATGTTAAATGTAATGATAAAAGTATATTTATATGTAAAAGTTTAGGTTTAAATTTTTTTTATGAAAAAATAAACTAAGCCATTAAAATTTTTTATTATCATTGAAAAGAATAATTATATTTTTTTTATAAATCAAATTACAAGGTAATATCTATTTACAAATTCTCAACTCTTTTAATAATGAAGGTTTATACTTCGAGTATATGTGATGCTCAAATCCTGGATCACAAGAGATATTAATAAATCTCTTAGTCACTAAAATAACTTGATTCCTGCAAATAATTATAAACTCTAAATATAAATCATTACATAAATATATATTTATCTAACTTAAAGAAATTAAAAATAAAATATAAATGGTTAAAAATTTTAATCAGTATATTTGTTTGGAATATATATTTCATAATAATCTATTGCATATAAAAGTAATAAGAAATCTCAAATTTCAAAAGAGTCGCGACTTAATATAAAGAAAAATAATAAAATATCAAAGAATAATGAATATTGATCTCTAATTTAACTACCCCTAAGTGGACCTAGGTCTTTTAAGACATGTTGCAATATGAGGGTAAACCTTGAGGAAATCTCTTGACATAAGTGCAGTAGTTATAGATCATATAGTTCTTCTGTACCCGTCGCAGCCTTTGTTGATTTGTTGAATCCATCTCTTGAGAGAACCACGCATTGTTGGTTGATGCAGAAGAAGATGGGGAACTTGATTTGCAAGAAGAAGCTCCATTGGACCACACACAAGCATCGGCATTGAAGTTCCTATAAGAGGCAGTGAAAGGAGCTTGGGACCAATCGGTCTTAACCAGACCAACCCTTGTGGCCCAGTCATCAACATTCCACAAACTGGAGTAGATTCTCATCGGTTAGTTCTTTGGAAATGGGACACCGATTGATTCCATGTTTTTGAACTCTCTGATGGGTGTACCATCCACAGAGAAGATGATGCGTTGGGTATTCCAGAGGATGGAGTAAGTATGGAAACCCGTTGTTGGATCAAACCAGAGATAGAACTGTTGTTCTTTATTGCCCTTTCCTTGGCTGAACAAGTCGGTTTTTGAACTCTCTAATAGGTGTACCATCCACAGAGAAGATGATGCGTTGGGTATTCCAGAGGATGGAGTAAGTATGGAAACCCATTGTTGGATCAAACCAGAGATAGAACTGTTGTTCTTTATTGCCCTTTCCTTGGCTGAACAAGTCGGTGTGAAGAATGTAAGGATCACCACTTAGATTTCTAAGGAACTCAAAATCAATTTCATCTCATGTTGACCCTTTCGAAGATAGTTGCAGATACAACTAGTGAAATATACATAAGCTACAGTTATCTGTCATTTCTACATAATAAAGTGTTAAAAAGAAGAATTAAATGGAGAATAACTTACATGGTAGGCAGTGACCGTTCCAGCAGAGTTGTCAGGTACAAGCTTGAGTTACATATCAATCTTGCCAAAAAGATACTCATTACTGGACTGGAAACCAGAACCAGAAGCTTTATCAAGTGAGAGAGTGAGAACCTCTCCATTGTTAATAATCTTACCACGGCCATCTCCCAATGTAATGTCAAAATCATTGTCGAAGTTGTTAACAAATGCTGTAACGAGACAACCGACTATAAGAGGCATCCGACTATATGAGGCATAAGCAAGGTAAACTTAAAATCTAAAGAACGCATTTTGTTTACTGGTTTTTGCACAGCAAAGAGAAGTGAGAGAATATATTGGAAAATGACAAGTTTGTAGCTCGATAATTTGGTGTGATTGTCAGAGGAATGGCAGAGCTTGACATTTATATAGTAAAGAAAAAGGGCATAGGAAGAGCTGAGGAAGCTCCCTTGAGCTTGGTTATATACACGTGAACTTGTGGGGCCGCAATTAACACAAAGCATCCTATTTTTACTGTGGTGCCGAGACCAGCTAGGAACGGCAATGGGCGGATTCGGGCCGGATTTTGCTCTTTCATCCTCATCTCTAAAATGAATCTTTGTCCTTGTCCTGTTCTCCGTCGGTGATTTTTTTGCCCCGTCTCTGAAATCGACTCGAAGTATTGTACCCGAACCCGACCCAAAGTATTGTACCGAACCCGACCCGATCCCGAGAAAAACCTATCAGCCGTAGTTTTCATAAAAAATAGGAAAAACGATCACAAAACCTGAAAAATTAGTCTACATGATTTATAATTCAAACTACAGTCACAAATTCAAACTCAATTCTAAATAATTGTCTAAACTCCAAAATAAAACACACACATAATTAAATACAAACTTGTTCCGATATTCAAATCATACATCGAAGATGCATACGTAATATTAAGTCAAATAAAGTCATCCAAAATCGTCATGCAACTTTTGTCACTTTCTTTGGTAGCTCCCTACATTGAGAAATTTATCAATAAATCAACCAAATTTTACTTTAATAATTAATATAAAAAATATTATATATTATATATATATAATCGGGGCGGGGATACCTTGGCCCATCCCCGAACCCAAAAAAAATCCCTGAATTTTACCCTGATACCCGACCCGACCCGATATTATTCAGACCCGACCCGACCCGAACTTAGCCAGGTTTCGGGTTTCCCCATCGGGTTCGGGTTGTTCTGTCATTCCTAAGACCAACACCTATCAGGGTAAGAAAGACGCCGTCCAGACGGCTCACAAGGGTCACGCTGAGACTAAGGTACACATAACATCGAACAGGGTAAAGACAACCCCACCCCAAACTACCCACAAGCACGACCATCAAACAACAAAGGTCGCCTAGGGTCGTGACCACCGCACACCAAGGTGCACCTAGAACCGAGACTAACGCATGACAAGGTTAGCTGAGGGCTCTAGCCAACAAGCAACAGGATGCACTTGAGGTCGGGGCTAACGCACACCGAGTGTGCGCTTAGAACCAAGATGAAAAAACAAAGGGGGTCACTTGAGGGAGAGGGCAACACACATCGGGGGCACACAAGGTCGAGGCTTGCGCACACCGAGGGTGCACTGAGGGCCAAGGTCAGTACCGACTTAGGACTTGTCCACCTAGCAAGGTCGACCATTACTTGGAAAATAAAGCCAAATATCATAGTCCTTGTTTGAATAGAACTTAAATATTAGAGTTTCAACTAAAGTAAAGAGTTTTACTTATAGTTAGCCTAGGAGTAGTCATGAGATGTAGGGGTGTGCAAATCCGAATCGGTGATTTCTCGGCCCGTGTCCCAACCCAGATGTTGCAGGTACCCGATTTTTTTCATTTTCAAATTATTAATTTAAAAAAATATACACAAATTTAAATGTTCAAAAACTTCAAATTACCTTTGGGAATCTTTAACAAATAGAAAGAATCACAGCTCTGTTTGAGCTCTACTGGTGTTCCACCCACAGAAAATCGCTTCTCTTTAATGGTGACTTTTTTGGACTAACGAGTTTTTCTCTTTGTATGTTAGTTAAGTTCACGTCTCCATCAGGTGAAGAACACTACATGTTCATCAATAAAAGGAGTGATGACAAGTTTGGCTCAATATAAAATTCAAAGCGGAATGGATTCTCTCAAGGCGCATGTTAGCTGGTCTGATGTGGTCTCCAATTCTCCTCTCCGATCCTAATTTCCTGCTGGGTCTTTCTTTTCTGGTTGGTTTGCTAGCTCTATGGGTAGTTAATTCATGGATTCGTCGCCTTTAAAGCTTGATTGAAGGAAGCTTTTCGTTGGATCAGCAGACCAGTCTCTTGAATTCTTTCCTCTTGAGGTTCTGGATGGTATACTCATTGTTAAGCCGCCTTTGGAGGTGATTGAGGAGGGTATTGCTGAGTGGAATTTTCCTGTTGTGGGTCAATTCATTGGCGCTGCTCCTAATTTTGATTCGATGCAACGAATCATTCGATCTCTTTGGGGGAAATCTTCTCCAGTAAAGGTTAGCCTAGCTGGTGCAAACCTTTATGTTTTCTCGTTTGTGGATGCTGCCCTTAGGGACTGGGTCCTTGAGAACGGGCCTTGGCATGTTCTGAATAAGCCCCTGGTGTTGAGGAAGTGGGAGCCGTGTTTGCAAATGTTAGATTTTGATCTTTCTCACATGCCTGTTTGGGTTCATCTTTATAATGTGCCTCTAGAATTGTACTCTAGAAGTGGGCTTAGTTATATCTCTGGTGCCCTAGGAAATCCTTTATACATGGACTCCATCACAGTTTTTAGGGGTAGACTTGAGTATGCAAAAGTTTGTGTTGAAGTTTATGCGGAGTCTGTGATTCCAAATGAGGTTCAGGTAATCCTTAAGGATGGTTCTATGGCGAGGGTTGGAGTGTTTGTTCCTTAGTTTCCTAGAGCTTGCTCGAGCTGCAAATCTTTTGGCCATCTGGCCAGTAGATATGTTGTCAGTCAGAAGGTTGCTGGGAAATAAGAGGTTCAAGTCTGGAGGAAAAAGGTAGTTGTCATTTCTGATGATAAGAAGAAGCTGGATCATGGTATTAATTTGAGTACCTCTGTGGAATTCAATTTGCCTAGTTCTTCTGTTAATA